GCCAGCTCTGCTCCCCTCTGAGAACTTCCATTCTGGACTATAACTTATCTCAGAAGTCCAGTGGTGCCTAAGGAAATGTGCACATCACTTGTCAAGTGTAGCCTTTTTGTAGGAAAATTATATTTATTGTTCCCTCAGGGTTTCAAAGTGGTAAGTGTTGCTCGCTGTTGATAACAAAATCATGCTTATGGGATGATTAATAATCCTGAAATGAGGGGCTTTAAGTAACCTGCTGCTGCTCAGGAAACAAAACTTGAGTTCTTTACTTACAGTTTTCTGAAAACGAAATCTCTTTTATTGTTTTCCCTTTTTATTGCAGCAAACCCAAGAGCTGAGAAAGAGAAATGTGTGGGGAAAGCTGCTGCTGCACAAATGCAGAATGTCCTCAGATTTTGGGTCATATCCTATCATAGTCCCCTGAAGGATTTGAGCATTTGCAACTAGTCCTTGAGGAGACTGGAATGTAACCTGGGAAATACATGCTTGTTCAAGGCATCTGCTGCTGGCTGATGTCAGGGACATGATCTGAAGCCAGCTGGACCTGACCCCATCTAATATGGTTATCTTCATGTTCAAATGAATATACAGTGCTTAGTTCTCTTCTGGGCATGAGAACTGAGGATTGCCAGGTGAAATCGAGGTGATGTGATTCTGGTCATCACCAGGGGTTGTTGTGGAGGTCCAAAGGAAGTGCTCAGAAAGGACCAGGAAGGTTTATCAAGGTGGGCTGCTGAGTGTGTTGGTGCAGGTGAAACCCCAGTTCAGAAGTTTGTTAAGCTAATTCTTAACTTCATGGTGATTGAGGAGAAGGAAAGCATCTTGAGGAATGATCTCCTCATCAAAAGTGTTAAAAACATCTCCTTCTGGCAGTACTTGTCAGAACTGGGGTGCTTGGCTAGAAAAACCCTATAGCATTTCTTACAGAGTGGATGGGACAGTAATGTAACTCCTGGCTAAATAAATACTTCTTGTTTTGTTTGTTTGACTTGCTGTGCTTGGCAGGCCTAGAATTCTGCTGCTTTTTGAGCCAATACTGATAACTCCTACAGCTTTTACCTTGTTACACATGAAGGTTGTTTACTTGTCCTCTAAAATGGGTCAGATACTTGTGTACTAAGTGTGGTTCTCATGGTTCCCTTTCTGCCAGTGGCATTTTCTCTGCTAAATTATGGTAAAGTGTTTAAAGTGCATCCCATAATAGGCTGTTCTGGAACACAGGGGATGTTCATAATTGTGCAAAAGAGGTAATGATTGAAAAGTGTAAGACTTTCTTGGAGGTGTGTCACTTGTGGATCACAGTGACCTCAGTTCTAGTTTTCCTGTTAAGAAGTGGCAGGTGAACACAAATACTGCTTGAAACTTGTAAAAATGCAACAGTGCTGAGCTTTAAATACCTCAGACCAAAGGGGACACTGTTTAGAGGGTGAATAATAACTTTCAAGAACTAATGCACATTGGACTGGAAATCACTGTAGTGTTCAATTTTAGATGTTGGGAAACTACATAAACAGTTCTCACCACTTTATCTTGGATTTCTTGAATCACTCTTTAACTTTTTAAAGAGCATTCAGAGTTGTACATGCAGGTGGGGAGTGGAGCAGACTGTGGTCTTGAACAGAGAGGGGAGTTGAATTACTTGAAACATGCACAAAGATGTGTTCATGGTTTATTTGGAATCTCCCTTGTAGTTAGTTCAGATGGCTTTTTATTTTTAATAGGAGTGAAACTCGGGTGTGGTGAAAGTGGGCTTGGCTCCCGTGTTTGTCACAGTGCTCTGAGTCACCCCGGGTCACTGCAGTTCTCACTCTGGAATTCTTGGCACTTCAGGGATGGGAGCCACAAGTCAGGATCAGGAAAAAGTTGGTGATATTGGGCTGTGCTTTTATCCTGCTGTGCAAGCAACTCTGTCATTAGTGCAAGTTCATTTTACTTTATTCTGTATCCAAAAAAATTGATACAAGTTAATAACAGTTATTCTAAGTTACGTTCTTTGTAAGAAAGGCAGGTCCTGTGAAGAACTTCTGATATTTTATTTCTTGGAGCTTATCCTTTTATTTGGACTTTCTTCTTGTTATTTGTTTGCTGTATTTTTTTTTAGACCTCTAAATTATTGTAACTCAGGTGTGTTTTGCCTGATTTTGATGTGAGAAGGAAGATTATCCTACTCAGTTTTTATCCTTCCTCCAATTGCTTGCTAAAGTTCTTGGTTCATTTTGCATTTTAGTGGGTTTTAGGACCTCCTCAATAAAATTAAGAGCTGATTTAGCCTCTTCAGTAGAGAAATTAGATTCAAATAAAAATATACAAAGTCTTAATACTTTTCAGTTTGATGCAGAAAACTTGCTCACGCTTCAAACCTTATAAGGCTGAGAAAAGGGCTTTATGTTAAACCACAGGCTGCTTAGCTGTCTTCAAGGGTGTGGAATAAGATGTGAGATTAGAGCTGCACTCCATGGACTGAAATTTAATACTTCATGTCCTTAAAGCTGCTACAAGGCCAACAAGATACTTAATGAACTATTGCACATGGAAAAAGCGCTCCCCCTGCTCTGACCTTGCAGCTCTGAACAGCTCACGCCTGGTGCTGACTGTGGGGAAGGGCTGGAACTCCTTATCCTTCCACCAGCAACATTTTATTCTCTTGCAGAATCACTGCAGGGTCAGGTTCTGTAGAAGAAAGTTTCTGCTGGTTTTTTTAAGCTTGAGTTTGCCTTCAAACACGACAGGATCAGAGGTGGGAGCACACAGGGAGGGCAGGGACAGGGAGGGATTGAGCATCACAGACTTGGCACACCCGGAGTTGTGCTGTGCAGTCTCTTGGTAAGGAAAGCCTGAGTGTGTTCAGACACAGTTTAATGTCACCCTACAGAGAAGTCTCACTTGGAGACTAGAATAATACATTTCACCTGTGGATAGTAAGCTGAAGTGTCTATAAATGTAGTAATACAGAAAAATAAAAATCAACTACTAAATGCAAAAGGATGATACCTTTAATATATTTGCCTGGCTCTTTAATACTGCCTTTGGCAGCTGGAGAACACGAGACAATTGTTACATGTACTGTGACATCTTAGCAAAGGAAGGCTAAAAAATAAACAGTTCTCACTTAAAAGCCAGATAACATTCAACGTGTGGGAGGAAAATCTCGTCATAGCAGAGATTCCTTGGAATTGACAGTATTTCTTTATGTTTGCTGATCTGTTTTTCCATGGTGTTTGGCCTTTTTTTAAATCCCTCTCTGGGAAGTGTGGCTCCCTTTTCTGTGAGTGCTGCAATCACATCTCTGTCTGCAGCTTTTCCAGGTCTTTGGGATCCCTCCTCGATGCTGCTTTGCCCACAAGCAGTGGGACTGTTTGCCTGCCTATGCAGCAGGGAGGAGGTGCAGTCAGCTGTGTCCCCCACATTTTCCATAGCCCCAGAAGAGCCCTGGGATGAGTGCAGGGAGCCAGGCAGTTCTGCACTGCTCCTCTCACAAATCCCTGTGTGTATGACCCCTGGCAGCCTCGAGAATGCTGAGCCCCTGTCCCCTGGTAAAGCAGCGTTGGTAGAATTGGCACAAAAGTTTCACTTCACTCCTTTACAAGATTTGAGACCAAACTAGTTGAAAGTCTAGGGTTTTTTTACTTTTTATGCAGTAAATGTACTTTCTAGGAATTGGGACCCAATTTTCTGCTGGGTTTCTTGGGGAGAAGAGCACAAGACTTGCCTATAATAGTTAATTCAAATTTAGTAACTGTCTGCAATTAAAATTATTAATTTGAATATGTTTTGCAAATACTGCACAGATGGCTGTGAGACTGTGAAGTGTTTTGGAGATGGTATTAAATTGTACTTGCTGTGGTCCCTTTTTCTGTGAGGAAACTGCTTGTCATGTGTTGGTAGCCTGTCACTGATCCCAGGTGTGTGGTGAGTTACATCAGCAATGTTCCTGCCCTGTGCTGTGTCTTGGTTTAGCAGGGCATTGCCTCTAGTACAAGAAATTATCTAGCAACTGCACTTTTCTTGGCATAAATGTAGCACACTGGCATTTTCTGCTGCAACAGGAATGAGGAATGGTGCTTTTTTACATAGTTCTGTGGCAGTTAACCTGATAATGGGAACCAAGCCAAGTATAGTGCTTGGCTTGGTGCTCCAAAATCATGCTGGAAGATATCCTGATGTTCTCTTGTAAGTGAGTTAAGTTACCTGTTGGATAGCATTAACTTCATATTTTCAAGTGACACTAAAAAATAAGGTCCTCACTTTGCTTTTACAAGTCATGATCTGCCTTGGGGCATCAAACTCCTGGTTTCTAGCACAAATACATTTGGTAATTTCATCTTTTATCCTTATTGCAGCAGCAGTTTTGTAGGGCTTGTGCTGCTTTCTGTCTTATCACTAGAAAGTTGAAAGTCACTTTGTGGGGAACTCAGGTGTTGGTTCAAAGTGTCACACCGTGCTCTGACAAACGAGGTCTGTGGATCTGGTTCTGGTGCCATCCCCAGCTTGTCTGCTTGGCAGATTGGGGTTCCTCCTGAGGTGAGAGACTGATCAGGAGCAGCTGAGGTGCTAACATATGTCCTGGTTTGCTTGCTCTGATGCCAGCAGAGCTGGGAACAAATCCTTACCCCTTGTGCCATCGTCCCTGTTTAGTGACCAAGTGTCCAGCTTGCTGTGGTGGAGGGAGCTGCTAAAGCTGTTGGGTGCTTGACAAAACAGCTTCAAACAGAAGCAAACGTGGTGTTTGAAGTTGCAGCTGCGTGAACTTGTAGTTTTTGGTGTGTTGAATGACTTTATAATCCTCCAGGTGTGGGATAAAGCTGTACCTGTGGATAAAGTGCTCCCCCTGTTGCAAGCTGCTTGATTTTCCAGGATAACTCTGAACTTCCCATAGGACTCCAGTGGTCATGTCAGAATATATGTACCTCTTTTTTTCTTTTCCCAACAGAGGTGAACTGAAAACACTGATGTAAAAGCAATAGGTGCCCAAGCAGGTGTTAATTAGTTTCACTGTTTTACAGATGGGGTCGAGGATTCGGTCTGTTGGGTTCCATCTTTGGAAAGGACAGTGCAATAAATCAGTCAAACAGTGTTTTTGGACTCGTGTTTTATATACTACAAATGCTACTTGGTAAGTATTAATTCTGCTTAAAGCCTAAAGCATGTAGCTGGTCTGTGGTGTTGAAAGAGGAGTGCAATACAGATTGTACAATCTGCAAGAAACCAGACAAATGCTTGTGGTTTTTATATCTTTTTTTTCTTAGCACCAGCCTAATGATACATCTGTCCAAAGGGCTTAAAAACCCAACTGATAATAAGAGTAATTGCATTTTCCTCTGCTATGCTATTAATAATATAGGGTGTCAAGACAGTTTCTGTGCTGGTATTTTCACTTCAGTATATTTAGCATGGGATTGCATGATAGAAAAGAGAGGAAATAAAAATGGAATTTGCAAGTTTTGCAGGAGTAGTAGGCAAAAAAGTGCATGAGATGTGTTGTATACATGTTGGTAACTACGTGGTCTGCTATAAAGCTGTTAATTTTGACAGAAATAACTTGATCAGCCTGTAACTTTCCCATAACTCAGGAATGCAGAGGATGGTTGATGTAAACATACTCCTTATCACAGGACTGTCAGACAGAACTTAGATGCTCCCTTCCAAAGAGTGATTTGTCTTGATTTGTCATGGTGTTTTAACCAGACTTTTCTGTAAGACAGACTTGCTGAGGAGCCCTCAGTCTGAGTTAGTGCTGGGGCTTTGTGCTGTGCATGGAGGGGGGCCGAGAGCAGCCCTAGTAACTCTCTCTCTCTTGTTGCAGGTATGACAGCAAGTGCAGTAGCAGCTCTAATCCTCATGACATCCTCCATAGTGTCTGTAGTAGGGTCATTGTACTTGGCATACATTCTGTACTTCGTGCTGAAGGAATTTTGCATTGTCTGCGTCATCACATATTTGCTGAACTTCATTCTCTTTATCATCAACTACAAACGACTAGTTTATTTGAACGAGGCCTGGAAACGGCAACTCCAACCCAAACAGGAATAACCCCTGTTTGAACTCTTGACTGACAGTCTGAAGACCCAACTTCCATTAAGTTTATTTTGCAGTAATTTTTTATTCTCCATATCAGACACTCTCCCCGAGAATCATAACTGAATTTTTAATTATAAATTTGAAGGGGCCCCCGATAATTTTTCTGTGCTAATCTTCAGTTTAAATGTGGTTGTGAAAGAAAGCTCTAATACAATCAAAGACAAGCTTTAACTTTACTTTGAAGGAGTTTTAGCCACAGCAAAACCTAGACTCTCTCTTCCCCCTCCACTTGTGAAGTGGGTAACACTTGCTCTAAAATATCCTGTATATAAATTCAGGTATAACAAGATGTGATCATGACATTAAATATTCTAGACTAGCATCACCATATTTAATGTTGCCATGTTTACAGTATGTGTATTACTTTTTTGTTTTCGTTTTGGTTTTTGTTTTTTTTTTTTTTTAGCTGATGGACTTAGATTTGACTAGGACTTACACTGTAAATAAAATTAGAACTATTGGTTTCATCCCTGGAGAACTCCCTGTACAATGGGTTTTGTTAGGAGCTGTCAGAGGGTTCAGCTCACAGTCGACTGCCACGATGGAAGAAGTGACCTCTGAAGAGAACACAGAGTTGCTGCACTCACTGCTCGTGCTGTCCCAAGAATGATGCTTGGGGTTGGTTCCATTTTTTTTTTTCTTTCTTCTGTCTTTCTTTTTGTCTCCAGTATCGAAAAATGGAATTAAAGCTGAAACCTGAAGCGTGTTCATTAAACCACAACCTCGTTAATTCTGTACCGAGTGAAAATAGCTCCGTGTGGTCGATGGAAAGCCACCACCAGGATATTCTGTGCAGGTCGGGGGTTGGTGTATCAAAGTGTTCTTTGGAAGGACTCAGTTTCCATGCAGAGCTGTTTCATTTTTAAGCTGTGGTCAGCCAGCCAGTGTTACTAATGTTTGATGTTCTATGAATGCTGCAGTATAGGATTGCAATTGCAGTGGAAACCACTGACTGAGCGGGGTAACCAAGTCGTGCACTGAAAAAGCAGTTACTTAATTGATCTTCGTCAGGATCCTTGGTTTGTGCTATATTGGGAAATGAACTTTAGGCCTGACACACACACACAAGATCCCTTGGAAGGGCAAGCTGTTTAATGGGATAAGTGAGTAAATGTGCTCCTGAAAATGAAATGTGATGTGTAGTGCTATCATTGCTCTTTCTAATAACTAATTGGGAAAAAAAAAATATTAAACTGCGGATTTAAAGGAACAAAATTGTACATGTTGTTTCTGCACTCAGTATTCTAAGGCTGAATGTTAAAAGTGCCTTCTGTCTTAAAATCTTAAACCAAATACTTTGCGTTGAACTTGGCAGGCAGAAGTGTCCTTGCTTTAAAAATGAACAAACAAACAAACAAAATTCCCAGCAAACTTGCTGGGGATAGAGGAGTATTAAGAGATATGTTTAGTTTTTAGACTGAGAAGTGGTAGCAATATTGTTTCAGTTTAATTAAAAAAGGTTGATGGCGATTTGGAAAAGTAAAATATTTGTGTTTCAGACTCTGTGACACGAAAACGTGTAGGTTCAGTTACTTTCTGTAATTGGTGCTGTGCTGCTTTTTGCCCTTGTCAGCTTCTAAATATGAAGAATTCCAACTGCATACCAGTTATTTAAAGAATTAATTTAACTACTTTTTGGATTTTTTTTTCTCAAACATGAATGTCAGAGAGACACTTTTGTTGTATGGATAAGTGGATTATAAACACTAAGTTGCTGAGGATAAACTTGACTGTGAAACATGCAGTGTTTCCATAGAGCAAATAGAATATTTAGATTGAATCCACAAAATAGTATTTAAATTACTACTGAAGTCATTTTCTGGTTTGTATCAAGGATGTAGGTGGAAACTGCTTTTATGTATAGAGTTCTGTGGTATGAGTAACATCTGTTGCATGTAACACTAAATTACTTGTCCCTCTTGTCTGACAGTTTTAGACAACAATTCATTAAATGCATTTTGTATTGACCAGAGTATAGTTAAAGCTTGTCTTGATGTTTAGTTCTGTCTCTCAAATGCCTTGAACTTTGATATGAGGGGAATGAATGATGTTAAACTGGTCCCTCAAGGCTTGCCTTTGTTCTCTCACAAGCCTTGAGGCAGTATCACTGTGGTATAGATTTATTTTGATGCATTCCTGTGATCTACACTAAGGCATCTTTTTTTTCATCCAAGGAAGAGGTGAACACGTGCTGCCCGAAATGGTCAGTGGCAGTGCTCATATCTCAGAACAAGCAGCCATGGAGACAAGTATAATCAATGAGTACTTGGTCCAATTTCTGGGGAAAAAAAAGGAAAAAAAGCCCCATCAGCTGAAAGTATTGGTGTTGACTTCACTGTGTCTTGTGCTTGTTTGTGTGGGCATAGTCTGTTAATTCAGTTTGTTTAGTAAAAATGTTTAGGGCCGGATTTCCAGCAGTCGTGTCTGCAGTCCTTGTTCGTGTGCACATAGGGATCAAATGGAACTGGAGTTTGGTCTCTGGAAGAATTTGCAGCTACACTTTGTGCACAGACTTGCAAATCTGATCCTTAATTGTGAACTCTTTTGTCTTGTGTGCTTTTCTTGCAGTTACTTTTTACTGGAAGTGATTTGCTAGAAACGGCCCTGACTCTTCTGTTTCTCTCTCGTGCTTCAGAAATGCAGTTGGCCTGAATAAAGGGCAAAATAATCTTAGCAGTAGAAATTTGGACCTCTTTGCTTCCAGTTCTTTGACTCTCCTTGTTGCTCCCAATGATAGAAACAGCATCTTTCTTCCAGTAAAATGGCACAGGTTGTGATGTGATGGAAATCAGAGGAGTGCCCCCCTGCCTGCCCCAGCCAAAACAGACATGGTGAGAAACGTGTGGTTGATTCTGATTTCACCCTTCCAAACCCAAAGGCAAATTCCGAGAAATCTTGAGGATACAGGAAAACACAGGTAAATAATACCTGGGCTGGCAAGGGACAGGGGGATGTTACACAGATCCTCGTTGTGGTTTCAACACTCATGAGAACAGAGGGAAAAAATTCACAATATCCAAACAGTGGTTCTGAATTTGGGTCCTTCCTCCCCCTCTTTGGCTCTCAGAGTCACCGAATATCCTCAGTTGGAAGTTCCTCGGCGAGGGGCGGATTGGAAAGGCAAAAGAACCTCATCCCAAAACCTGCTTAGGAATTAAACATTCCTGAAATCCTCTTACTGTAAGGTACTTGCTACTCTTAAAGGCCAACAAAGCATTCAAGTCTCGTTGAGGAAATGAGTGTTCTTGGAAGTTTCTCGGTGTAAGGTGTTCGGATGCTGAGGCCAATGAAACATTCCCGACCACCTTTGATGCCTGAAGTGGCAACAGATCTCTTGTGAGGAGGTTTCTGCATTCTGTAGTGTTTGTCTGCTGCTGTACAGAGTCTCTCAATTGTTCCAGGAGGTTGGTGAGGTGCTTCAGGCAGCACTTGATGCTCCTGATTTATGTGGGCTGAAGTCAGAGATTGAATGGCTTTGATTCTGCCAATGTTGTTTAAACGTGAACTAGACAAAACCGTTCCAGAAAAGATGAAGTATTCTGTTACCATAAAACTGTATTAAGCATGGCCTAAATATTAGGTGTTTGTTCTGTATAGTATGTTCCATCAACTATTTATTCCTAGTGCTTTAAACTCCAAATTAAACACCCATTGAGATGGAGTCATTGGGCAGATGTTCCTTTCATCGATACAGGCTGAGAGATTCTATATCAGAGGTTTAGGATACAATTTTGCTAACAGGTAAAACAATGTAAATATGTACGAATTCTATTTGTTGCACATAACTTTTTTGGTATAAAAAAAAAAATAATAAATGTAGAAATTACCTGTGGACGTCTTGCTGCAATCATTCTTATGCTGCATTCATGCAGTCCAAACATAAGAGCTTGAATGAACCCAATCAGAGGCCTTTTTGGACTCAGTCTGAGCCTTAGAAACTGTTTTTAACGTCAGTACTGTAATTCTGTTTCTAGAAATGTACTAAGTTGTGGGCTTTTTTTTTCAAAGACATTGTGTGTGTTAGCAGTAGTTTAAAGCACTCGATTCCCCACAGATCCCAGTTTATAGAATTCCTGCAGCTTCATCACGTTGTGTGCACTGGGTGTGTAGAGGCTGAGCAGCGTTGACTTGAGGCTTTAATTGTTTACAGTTCTTTAAGCAACGTGCAAAAAGAAAAAACCACCTAACATTCAGTGTGTGATCTTTATCACTTCCTGCTTTATTGGTTCTGTGGGTCTGCTTGAACCCACTCCCACAAGATCAGAAAGGATCTGGAAAATGCTCTGTGTGTGTTCCTGGATCTGGGGGCCTGAGGGAGCTGCTGGGAAGGGTTGGGTAGGAGGGCTTGGGTTTAGGATTGCACTGAGCTGGTCAGAACAAGCAGGAACTGAGCTCAAATGTGTGCTTTTCATACATATGGGTATTAAACTCTGCATCTGTTGTGTTGGACTGAATGAAGTTAAAACTGCCTCTTCTGCAGCTGCCAGCCCCGTGTTACCACAGGGATCTGAGCCCTGGTTTGTGATGGGTGAACAGTGTCAGATCTTTCTCTGTGTTTTGGTATGTCCTGTCTGGTGAAATGGGGAAGAAAAAGATTTTCTTCTTTAAATAATGATGTCTGGAGATGGAGAAGTTGAGATGACTTTCAAACACTGGTAGTGGGCTTAAATATGGTAATTGCTTCTACCATGGTACGTTTGAACAAGTGTCTTTTTACTGTGCATAGACTTTTATATTCTGGGGCTTTAGTTATATAGAAGATCTAGACCTAACATGGTGTGAGGAATGTCAATAGTGTGTGGTTTCTTTTCCCTTAAAAACTTTATAATTGTTTTGAAGTCTGCAGCAAACATCTGTGCCCTCATTCTGCGTGTGGCAGGGTGGAAGGTGGGGTTGATTCCTAATGTACCACCTCTAAAGGAAAGAGAATTTGGCCACCACAAAACATAAGAGCAAATATTTTCTTTATATTGTCAGATTTTGGTCACTTTCCTGAGCCACCAACACAGGAAAGCGTTAGAAAAGGGAGTCATAGCAACAGTTTCACACAGAGTCTGTGAATCATTAAAACTACCTAATTGTACCAACCTCCCAAATTCACTGGGCAGCCTCCAGTTTTGTCGTTCTGCTCCCTGTGATGCTGCTCTTGGGACGACCCTGGGATGTTGCTGTAAGATGTGTGCAGACTAAGTGTTCTGAGCTCCTCTGTGAGTGTTGCTGTGATCTGTGACAGTCTCGAGCCAGGCCTTTAGAGTGCCCTAAGACTGGTGTGCAGCCCCAAAGGGACGTTATTACACCGTTGTGCTGCCTGAAGCAGCATGTTAATTTACACATGGCCCTACCCCAGACTACTCCAGGCCACTACCAGAAAGGTTTAGAACAAACCTGCCCTCTTAGACTGCTGTTGCTGTAGTCCATGGTGACAGTTTAATATGAAGGAAGCCCTTCTGTGCTGGAAGGTAAAACTGCATCGAATAGTGGCAGTTTTGGTACTGTGAGTAAAAGAAATAGTTTTATTAAAGTTCAGTTGCTGTAATACCTGCCTATCTAACATATTCCACCTTGCTGCTGTAGTATGAATTCCATACTGTGTTGGGAGTATGTTGGGTGTCCTCATAGTGGTTCTTACCCTTCCTGAATGCTGTGAGTGCTCAGGAGTTCTCACACACCCATCCTGTCAGGCAGGAGAAGCTGCATAAACTCTGCTCCTCTGTGGACAATTTGCTGTGATCTGAGTAGTGTAACTCTTAGGGGAGTATAACTGGAAAACCTCATTTGCATTAGGGGGATGTGATGTTCGTTTACAGTAACTTAGATATTTTATTTTTTTTAAGTCTTCAGCATTGATTTGTGTCATGTAATATTTGTGTTGGGGTTTTTTGCCATAAACAGATACCTCAGTCAGGATCTCTAACTTCAGCTCCTTGAAACTCTGAATATTTGTTTTACTCTCTGGAAACAGGAAGCCTCCAGACATGGCTAAGCAGAGGAAACCAGTGTTTCTGATCTGCTTCACATCATAGTAACTCCTTCAGGTGGACTAGAAATCGCATTAGACTTGCAAGACTTGAGTCAGGCACAAAAGTTATTAAAACAGAAATTTAATAACAAGTTCAGCGTAATACCCTTTGATTTCATTTTAAAAAGAGGGCATGTGATGTTATTACAGGAGGAAGACAGCTTGATTCATTTGCAATCTTCCAGTATCTTTCTCTAAGAACAAAAGCAGCTGCTTTGGGCTGTCGCTGGCGGGTAAATATTCCTTTCTTGTTCCCCAAAACACGTGTGGTCCCTGTAGAGGTTATAAAATAAAGCAGGGATATATAACATGCTCTTGTATGCCCTACTTGAACTGTGACAGTGTATGTACTAAATCAGGTTAGGAGGAAGAGACCTATGCACTTTCTTCTCCACACAGTCAGGGTACAACGGGGAACTTGGCTGATGTAACTTGTGTCTCCCTGGCACAATGATTTGATGTCACAGAGCAATACAGCTGCAATTCAGTGTATTTACAGCTGGGAAATCGATGGCACTTAAATTGGGTGTGCCCATTAACCTGAGCAGTATTATATTTACAATAGATATTCCTGCCACTGGTTCCACCTTGAAATTTGATGGTTGGAAAATGTTGATGACTATTTGACTGTCCTGTCCTTTAGTGGTGTCTGTCCTTTTAGCCTATTTTAGTTCTCAAAGGAAAGTAGAAAAGAGGATTGCAGCACAGAGAGAGACTGGGACTGCATCTGTGCATGTGAACTTGTCTACATTTTCTCCATCCTCCTGTTTGAAGTTGATACTACTTTTCTGACCCTGCACTGCACTGACTGAGCTTTCTACTGCCTGTATTGGTGCTCTCTGGATTATTCTTAGTGGTTTTCTCTGCCTGCAGTCAACACTGACTGTTCACCCCTGAGCTCACTGTAGGTGGCACAAGCAGAAGTGGTTCCTTACCAGGTCCCTTGAGCTGTA